GTTGGTGAATCAGCACCTTTACTCTATTTTATCTGTGGACGATTTTAAGTCACACTAAATACGGGGCTTTACGGGGCTTTATAATATGATGGATCTGATATCTTTGTATCTGCCTGTGTTTATCAAATTTCGCTGTATTTTTAGGATACTGAGAGTTGGATTATTGTGACTGTCAATTGTATTGAATAGTTTCAGAGCACGATCTTTAATGTATTTTTCAACTGAATCCACTCTCAGATCTCTGTGGATATCAGCTCCTCTTACATACCATGGGGCGTTGACCAGTTTTCTTAAGGCAATATTTTGCCCTCTTTGAAGAATTTTTAAAGTTGAGCTTGGCGCTTGGCAAAACGCTATACTGCCATAGAGTAGTCCTGGTTTAATAATTTGCTTAAATATGCTAACTCTATTCTTTATGGATATTTTTATTAATATGTATAGAAATGTGTGCTCTATTTAATTAAGTAAATAAAATTAAATTAAAATCTTAACATATATTTATATTTCAAATATTTAAGAAGTAAAAAATACTTTCACAAATAAATTATCGATACTTAAACATATTTTATAAAAAATAGTTTTAAGAAGGAGTTACCTACTTCAGTGGCCTCCGGACATGAAGGACACGAAGGCAGCGAAAAGGCAGACCTTTATGCCAAGAAAGGGACAAAAGATTCATTCATCAGCCCAACTCCCTTCTTTAGCTTCAATAAAAAGAATATAAAACAGGCGATCAAAAAATGGATTCAATAAAGTATCTACGGAATGGCATAGACTGCCTAAACTAAATTATTCCAAAAAATTCTTGAATTTTGATGTCACAAGAGCAAGCATCGTTCTCAACCTAAACAAGAAGTATCTAAAGTCACTCTCTGGTGCACTAAAAGGCCACGTCACCTGCAATATACACCTACACAAAATAGATGTATCCGGTACAAATTCTGCTGTGATGAGGAAAAGTCTATTGAACATCTGTTCAGCAACTGTACTAGACAACAGAAAAAACAAAATTTTAGGTGTATACCAACCCTTTGGAAGAGCTGGTTCGGATTCCACGAGATTCTAAATGTCTAAATGCAAAGGAGTGCATAATAGATCAAGCTGATCGCCGTGCATAAGGCCTTCGCTTAACCTATAAACCATTATCAATACCTACTTCCATCAAAATTTAATTAATATCTGTTCTTTCTAATTTTTTAGGAAAATTGTTATTATATAAAATACTAACAATACCAAATCCCCGAAGCCAGAAACATTTCTTATATTTTATGTAAAAAATGTGTGCAACACAGGATAAAGTCTATGTATTATTATTATATTTTTGACTCTATTTTTTACTTTACTATGCAAATGATAAACAATTAATGATCACTTTTTAAGCACCCAGAAAACTTAAGGTAGAAGAACAAGAAATAGAATGGGCCGATATTCTCAAATACCTAAGCATAACCTTCGACAACAAGCACTCCTGGAAAGCACATTTCAAGTTCAAACGAGCTCAAGCTGCCCGAATATTGCACCTGCTCCCTCCACCTGCTCATCAGCAGCAAGAAGCTTAACATAAAGAATAGAGTTAACATATTCAGGCAGATTATTAAATCAGGTATATTCTATGGCAGTATTGCTTTTTGCCAAGCGTCAAACTCAACATTAAAAACTCTTCAAAGAGGGCAAAATATCGCCTTAAGAAAACTGGTTAACACCCCATGGTAAGTAAAAGAAGCGGAGATCCACAGAGATTTGAGAGTCGATTCAGTCGAAAAATACATTAAAGATCGTGCTCTGAAACTGTTCAATATAATTAACAGTCACAATAATCCAACACTCAGCAACCTAAAAATTCAGCGAAATCTGATAAACGCAGGCAGATACATCAGATCCATCATATTATAAAGCCTCGTATTCAGTTATTCTTAGTGTGACTTAAAACTGTCCACAGATAAAATACAGTTAAGGTGTTGTATCACGAACTCAGACATCTGCATATCAATATATATATATATATATATAATATACTAGATATTTTAAGATTTTTTAGTTGTTGTATAAAACAAAAGAGGTGTAGTAAATATATCATATAATAATGTTCATATCATATATGAACGTTTGTCTTGTATAAAATATATGTATTTATTTTTATATTACGAAAATTTTGATTTGAAAACATTGTTTTTCACATTCAAAACATAACTATTTATTTAATTGTTAAATTATAAAATTAAGTGCTCTATAAATATATTATCTTTATAAAAGATAATATGAGTTAAAGCAATTATACTGACTAGACTACTAAAGCTTACGTGGCGTTTAATTTATATTTTTATTATATTAATCAAAAGCAAATAAAATTTATGTAAATAGTAAATTTATATTTACTCCTATTATAATTTTATAGCGCCACTATTAAAATTTATATTTCTAAAATACAAGTATTCGCACTTAACTCATACAGCTGCGAACTTTTAATATTTAAATTAATTACCGAATAGCAAATATATTTTGAAAATAATTACAATCACACAAATGCATAAGATTGCATAGCTACTTTATGTTCGGAGTCATAATAGAAAAATTTTACTATTTTGACACTTACTACGGCAACACGAAGGTCTTAAAATTTTTAGCTCATTAAAAAAGTGTGTTAAAGCATAAAATATACGTACAGCATGAAACCGCAGAAAAAAATTATAGTCATAATAATGAAAACATAAAATAGTATGACAAATGACAGGGCTCTCAGTAACTTTAGCTACAATTACTAGACCAAACACCAAAAACCAACAACAACCACAAATGTTGGGTACCGAATTCAGTGTATCAGCAAGCAGTGTACGCCCATAACTGGGCTTATGTTAACTACTGTTTAATTTATATTCGGCAACCCTAAAATTTATGACAACATAAAAACTACAAAAATGACATTTTGTTTTGGGGCATTAAAATGGTGACATACAAGTAAACAACTTCAGTACAACATCAACATCAACATCAACAGCAGCAACAACTACTTACTTCAGCCGATTGAGAAGACTTGTGCCCCAGAATTTTATGCTATCCTAAAATGGTAGTTAAAATAACGAAAAACGCTATAATTACCGTTTTTGTATGCATACGAATGCGAGTTCAGAGTGTGGCTGGGTGTTATGTGGGTTATGTCCGGTTCCGGATTTCTACTACAAATTACGTATGTCAACCGAATTGTAAATTTGTTACTCTCCTTAGATTAATAAAAATGTTTAAACTTAGTACATGTAAATAAAACAAAATAAAAACAAAAGGAAAGGAAAGGAAAGAAAAGGAAAGAAAGGAAAAGAAATAGAAGGTTTCTGGCAGTGTAACGAAAATGGGATGAAAACCAAAAATAAAATCCTTCGAAATAATGAAGTTTATATGACAAGGAAGTGCGGTTTGGCTATTGTGCCTGCAATGGCAGAGTTTTATTATTTGCGTGTCATTAAAATTAAATGGGAAAAAATTGATGACAATGAAGCGTTTGCAATTAAATTCCTTGGGTGTTTTGTTGACAGGATATTTAAAGTGTATGAATGTGTGTATATGTAAGGTACTGTATTTACGTAATTGTGATGAAGTAAGTACTAAATTGTTATGTCGATGGGAGTTGGCGGCGGTTGGTGGCGGTTTGTGGCGCGACTTGACCCCAGCGATATTACCAATGAGAAAGGCTAGTAAAACTAAAAATGTTGACAGCAAAAACAACAAATATACTAATTAGTATAATAAGGCACACAATTTCTATGCTTGTTTTGTAAATAGTAAATCCCTAAATTGTGGGCCAACACAGGCAATAAGGCTTTACTGGCATTTGTTATATAAAAGACATAATGATGGTCTATGTATTTTTCAATGCCCAAACTTTTCAGGCAAAAGTGCTCTATTTGAACAGCGCAATATAAGAAACAAATAAACTGAGCCTATCTTTGTATTTCGCTTTCTTAATTAAATTTTAACGCCCTTATCAATAAATTTAATTTTTCTTTTGCAGTTAATTATTGTATTTGTTTGAAAAGGATTTACTTACTTAGTAAAAAGGCAAATAAAAACGTCAATGTAATTAAAATTATTTAACGAGTGTACCAAAGTTGTTAAGGATATTTAAAAAAAAAATATATATATACGAGTTTATTGATTTTAACTTTGGATGCTGAAATTCAGAGATGTTTTGCCTTTTTATATATAAAATAGAAACAAAAAAAAAAAGAAATTTAGCTTTATTATACTCCTAGTATCATTTACCAATTCTGTTAATGATCATTTAGGAATGAGTAAAATTTATATTTAATTTCTTCGTCAATATTTACTTTCTTGTTTCCGCACATCGAATTCGTTTAGAAATTAACTAAAACATTTAATAAATTAAAATAATGTCAAACAGTTATTTTGTGTGAGCGTTATATGATTAAACGAAATGATTTTATAATTACCGATAATGGCGT